GATAATGAATTAATCATCAATATTTATGATTATCTTTGTCTCAGCGGAATCGATGTAAGGTACCATTTTCCTTCATTTCTAAAATATCGATGTATCTTTCTCTGTTTCTTTTAAATCATAATTGTGGTCTTCATTTTGAGTTTCTTGAGTTAAAACACCATGTTGGTGTTAATTTAGTCTGCAGACTATTATAGTTCGTATTGTTTAACGAGTACTGCTAGTTGTTTTGAAATTTGATATAGACTAAAATTGCAGTTTGCGGTTTCTACTTTTCAAATTCTAGTTAGCAATTTATAAATTCCTCAGTTATTAGAGTGCAATAATGTGCATAGTGCAAAGTGCAAAAGATTCTTCATGTATTAGGCAATGTGGTCGTTTTCATTATTAATTTTGTTGCAATTTTTTTTTTTTGATTCAGGTTTAATTTGAAATCTTAGTTTGCATTTGCATATGATGTTTGCTATTTTCAAATACTATTTTTATTTGGTTCATTTATGTTTTCATGGGTCCTTTATAAAACATATGATGTTTTTATTTGCAGTTAGTATTTTGGAGGTCTTGTATGCACTTGTGTAAGTTGTTTGCTATTTGATATTTACAATAACATTGTTTTGTATATTTTTTTAGTTCTGAAAAAAGAGAAAAATTCAGAAAATGACTGTTCAACATTATCGAAAAGAAAGAAAAAAAAAAATCCACTTAGTCTGCAGTCGAGGCATCAGAACAACCAACCGTTACAGAAAGACTAACCAGTTCCACTATATCGTTCGAAGCTCGTTTTATTATCCAATGTATTGTAGTTTGCAGTTATAGTTTATGTTTGTTGATAAAAGGAATTCATGTTTTACATTCACGTTGCAAATTCTAAGCTTAAAATTGCAAAATGAAAATGTTTGTTTTGCAATTGCCTTTTGCAATATTATTTTTCCAGACTAATGCAAATCACAAATTATTTTTGATGTTTTAATATTTACAATTATTACGATGCAGTTTGCTATTTGCTAAAATAACAAAACAGTAATTAACAAAGGAAAAAAAAATGACAACATCCAAAAAGATACAAAAATAGTTGTAAACGAATTTTTTTTTTTTTTTTTTTTTTTGTCTCTGATGAATATTGAGGAAAAATATATATATGGAATTAAAAAGACTAGAGATATGTGAGAGATATGGGCGAGAGAGAGGGAGAAGACGGCAACGTGATAGAGAGAGAAAAAGAGAAAGTTATGTGGGTGAGAGAAAGATATGTGTGATAGAAGAGATATATGATGGATTATGTTCCTTAATTTTTAATAAATAACTATTTTCGTATAAAAAATAATTGCGGAAATTTATGTCTACATACTAATAATTAATTTATTTTGTATGGAGTTATTACAAATAAGCCCATCAATAGGTCTTATTTATAAAAAAATTCAGACAAAAAACTCCGTTACAAATAAGTCCATACATGGTTCAGATTTTTGTTAAAGACTAAAATAGTCCCTCATACTTTAATATGCTCCAATTTCATCCTAAATTTAACTTAACCTCAATTTGACCCCAAATTTCACATATTATTCAATTTTAACCCAGAACTTCTTTTTTCAAAAAAAAGAATTTTGCCGCCGGATTCCGGTGTTGACTTTTCGATTTTTTTCTCCTGATTTTTCAACCACCGGTTTCCGGCGGTCAACGCGGCGGTCTCCCGCGTTGACTTTTTCGATATTATTTTTCTTCTTCTTTTTGCAACATTTTTTTTCGTTTAAACAGCAATATTGTTGTGATTGACAGTAATATTAACTATACTACTGTTAAACACAGTAAAATTAACTAAACTACGGTTTAATACAGTAATATTGCTTTATTAATCTCTAGCACAGTTACACAACAAAACTCATTATTATTGTGTAATAGAGTAATATTACTATGTTGACCGTTCAACAAATGTAAACATAATAAAAAGCCAAAAGATATAACATTACTGTGAGTGACAGTAATATTACTATAACAACAGTAATATTACCGTCAACCACAGTAGTATTACGATAATAGACAGTAATATTATTACGTTACTCCGTGAATAACTCAAACAAACAAAAAAATCCAAACAAAATAATAATATTGATGTGGTTGACAACAATATTACTTAACAACAGTAATATTACCATCAACCACAGTAATATTATTGTGTCTACAGTAATATTACAATAATAGACAGTAATATTATTACGTTACTCCGTGAATAACTTAAACAAAACAAAAAATCCAAAAAAATAATATATTGATGTTGTTGACAGTAATATTATTGTGTTTACAGTTATTTTACTGTCAACGACAGTAATATAACTACATTGACTTGTCAACAAATCAAACAAAATTAAAAAAAAAATAACAAAAAAAAAAAAATGTTTATTTAGAAAATAATGTTAAATAAATTACCACTTTTCATATTCTTTTTTAAATTCCGATTTAGAAAATAATGTTAAACATCAAACAATTGGTAATATTATTTCTAGTGGTTCATTTTATATTTTTACCAATTGTTTATTATAATTGTTATACAAATAATGTTAAATAAATTACTAATTTTCATTTTTTTTTTATTAAATAATGTCAATTAAATTACTAATTAATGTAATATAATAAATTTTGAAAAAATATAAAAAAATACATGACTTAAAATGCAAACTCTCTTGTGTTATTAAAATCGTTAATGTGATAAATTCGAATGAAAACTACAATAAGATGTTTATTTAGAAAATAAATAAGTTACGACGCATTTCAACTAGGAAACTAATCGATGCTTCGTTCTAGGAAACTTTAAAAAGAATAGCAGCTACCACAAATGAATCATGATCTGTCAGAACAGACCTATGAACTTTACCGTTCATCGCTTGAAGAAGTGCTTCCAACAACCATTGATACGAATATAAATTGTCTCATTCCCGAAGGGCGCGAGCGACACAACTCTCGATGCCCCCGCGCGACATGTTTTCCGAGGAAAAAATGCAGGCAAGCTTCCCGAGGTGGGCACGAGCACGATTCTCGAGGTGCGCAACATGACTCTCGAGGCACTCGTGCGACACGCTTCCCGAGGCACTCGCGCAACACGCTTCCCGAGGCATAAAAAAAAGAAGACAAAATAAAAAGAACTCGACAAGGACTAACGGAACACTACACCGATATACTCTCAACTTGATCCGGCCAATCGCGCAACGCACGCCCCGACATCTCCAACTGCATTACGCGTGCGTGCTCCTCCTGCTCGCACGCTCCTCCATTGCAGGACCCGCACTCGCGCCTGCGACCTCGATCCACGTGATCCTCCACCGTGCGACATCGATCCACGAGCTTCATCCATCACATGATTTCGATCCACGCGTGCATCCTAGATACGCGCGTCGCTCCACAACCGTTGCAATCAAACTCGCTCGTCCGTACTACTTCGCTGCGAGACAACTCCCACGAGGAGCCAACTCGCTCGCCCCTACGACTTCGGTGCAAGACAACTCCCACGATGAGCCAACTCGCTCGGAACTACGAACTCGTTGCGAGACAACTCCCACGAGGAGACACCTCGCTCGGCGCTACAAACCCACGTCGAGAAAACTTCCACGAGGAGCCAACTCCCTCGAAACTACGAACCCGTTGCGAGACAACTCCGACGAGGAGACAACTCGCTCACCGCTACTAATCCGTTGCGAGACAAATTCCACGAGGAGACACCTCGCTCGGCACTACAAATCGCATCGAGACAACTCCCACGAGGAGTCAACTCGCTCGGTACTACGAAGCCGTTGCGAGGCAACTCCCACGAGGAGCCAACTCGCTCGGTACTTCGACCTCTCTACGAGCCAACTCCTACGAGGAGCCAACTCGCTTGCTACTACGACCTCGCTGCGACACAATTCCCAACGATGAGACAACTCGTTCAGAGCGACCACAATCCGCGCGCTCCTTCGTCACACGTCATCCAATGCTTCAACAACCTCGATAAGAGATAACTCCCACGAGGAGACAACTCGGTCGCAATCGGTGAATAAACAAATTCACTATACAATCACGATCTCATGTTAGAACAGCTACAACCCTAGAAACACTTAGAGATATTTTGGGAATCTATATAGCTTGACCAACTTGATAACTCAAATTTCTCAACTTGTTTTCGGCGGGTCCTTCATTAAAACGTGGCCACGGTCTTAACATACTTACGACCCATGAGGTCTAACAAGGGACACGATCCCCATAAGAAAATCTTGAGAGCTTGATCCCCTCATCAAGTACATCACGCACAAAGCTATATGTAAACACATACAAGCAACGCGTCAAACCATTAACAATGTCAATAAAGAGTCAACTCCCACGAGGAGATAACTCGCTCCATGCTACTACATCGCCGCTGTACAAATCCGACGACTTAAGTAACATGCATCTCGACAACTTGGTCGCGACCCGCGCCACCGCCGCGAGACTCCGGCCACGCATCAACGCGCCCCTCCGACCCACGCTCCAACGCATTTTCGCACACTCACTACAACAAAAAGTCCCTATCGAGACATAGGAAAGTGTCCCAATATGGCGTTTATTGGGACATTTAGAGTTTTTGGGACAATTATTACAAGTGTCGCATGTATGTGTGTCGCATTAAGTTGGGGACACTTAAAGTGTCCCTATATCATACCTTATTGGGTCACTTAAATACGTCTTATTAATCTGCTTACAAGATACAAATAAGTGTCCCAAAATCTAAATTACTATATGCTAATTAATGTTTTGGGGACACTTATTTGTGCCTTAAAACATATATGCGATATTTACATGCGTCTCAAAAATTTATATTAGGACACTTATAAATGTCAATCTAAAACTAGTGATAAAATTAAATGTCCTATAAGATATTATATAAGGGCATTTATAAACAAAAAATAAAATGACAATTTCTGATCCAACGAACAACCTTATAATCAAAGCACAAATCCACCAAAATTACATATATAGTGATAATAAAACATAATTCATGTTTTCAAATAAAATCATTAAAATTCTCAGTCAATTACATTTACTCTGATGAGATGGCAACAAAATCACAACTAATATTCAGTTGCAACCTACAACATATACAAGAGTCACGTGGATAACTCGCTCACAACTAATACAAGACAAGAGTCATGTGGATAACTCACTCACAACTAATACAAGAGTCGTCTGGATAACTACTCGCACACTGCCAAGTTGTTTTCTTCCTTTCAAGGTTTGCTCTTCCCTCGTGAGTCTAGCTTTTTCTCCATATTCTAATCTTTAAAATCAGTCTGTTACAATATCACATAGAGGACAATTAGAAAGTACAATACACTAAACCTGTTAAAAGACAAAAAAAATCCTTAAGTTATACATTAATACAACATGTACTTACTTTCATATTATGCCATCATTCCAAGAATCCTATCCTTGTTGTAAGAAGATGCATTCAATTTCATCATTCTTAACCATTTTCGTAATACGACGCCAACACCAAACACAAATCTGCAGAAGTAGGAAAAAAATCACACTTCGAATGATTAGAAAATTAAGTATGTAAAAGAAAGAAAAGCAGTTAACATTCCTTGTAAAGTGTATAGATGAGGTCAGAAGATATTAAGTTCTCTCGCTGAAAGATAATAAAAATAACACAGTAATGCAAATAACCATGCCAAATTTAAAGCGGCATCTACGGTTTCCTGCAAAAGAACATAATATTTTGAACTCTATCTGCTGGAATATTATTGACGGGAGAAAAAATTACCACCTGCTATCCTATGCCAGAAAGTTGGAACTCGCGTGTAGCTTCGACAGCTCGACATCTACCAGATTTACATTTTGAGAAACCTTCAAATATTAAAGTTGGTTAGTGAAACCATAAAATCATTCTGAAAGTTATGAGAAACAACTGATTTCAGAAACATCCACAAACTTGAGAATTCTTTCAATTTTTTTTTACTAGAAATGACTAATTTCAGCACTTCCAGACTATATAAATAACACACATAAACATATTTACACATAGAATAAAATATAAACTAAAAGAGGCAAAATATTACTCTAGAAGAATTTTTGGAGAGAAATGAGCAATTACCAAAGTTTGTTTTCTTCCCACAGTGTGCTAAATCAACACCCTCTGTTTCGTCCCTTCATTCGACTCCTTCAAGTAAATTCGTTGGAAAGCTGGAAATAGATGTTATGATGTAACAACTAAATATGAAGAACTATATATATAACAATATACTTGAATACTAAATGCATGTTTATTACTTCGTGCTAGATGCAAGTACATCCATTAGGTACTAAGAAGGAACAAAGTTAATATTAAATTAGGTAGAACGAAGAAAGTCCTTCAATGTCTCTATAACATTCTGTGATTTGTTAATAATTTTAGTTTTCTATGAATTTTATGTTACTGGTGGTGGTTGAAACTGTAGGTAGGCTTGACAAACAAAATGAAAAGAGAGATAAATTTGCCCCTATTTCCCATCATGGCCCTGTTTGAATGATGAAAGCCATAAAAATCTCTGCCTATAACAATTTGTATTCATCATTGATTAACTTAAACTGTAATGTAACATATAATTCATCATTTAAAAATTAAGTTACCACTCCGTAAGTAGATAACTCTCCCTCGAGCCTTCCCCTTTATGAACAATCATAGGACTTCAATTTTCTCTGTTATAAAAGAAACGCAGAGAGCCCACATAAGATAAGAGTTGAAACAAAGCTACCAACTAAACCCTCGACTACGCAAAATTGAAAGATTACCATTGGAAACTACAAGAAATGGAAAGCAGACACAATTTCAAGTGGCACACACACTACAACAAAATTTTCGTAATGATTAGGAAGAATTAAAATTGAAAAAAATTGATATGCCTAAATTGATTAAATCGCATACGCTTCGTTTCTGATTTAAAATTAGGGCTCCAAATAACTGAATTGAGAGTAAAAATTGAAATGGAAGAGGAGAGGGACGAGAGAGCGAGCGAGCGAGAGAGAGAGAGAGAGAGAGAGAGAGATTTACCTCAGGTCACGGAATGCCGTCGAAGAGAAGTTGAGTTTGGCTGATAATTTGTGAAGTTAGAGAAGACCCAAACGGGTTTAGGGTAAGAACTCAAACTGTGTGAATATAAGCTTTTAATAATTTTTTTTTTCTCAAAAAAAAAAAATAGTATTTTATTTTGAAGTGTCCCTTTAACTTACATTTTCGGGATAAATCAATGGGAATGTCCTAACATCTATTTTATGGGACATTTACTAAATAATATCCCAAAAAAAGTGTCCCAACATGTACTTTTTGGTGTAGTGACTATCTGGCCATTCCGACATGGCCCCCACATCGACTCGAGAGTGGGGGGCTTAATGATATACCTAATTGAGCCAACCCAATAGACCTACAATTTCTTTACCTACTGGGCCACGAGCCCAATACTGAAGACCACTACTAACGAGGCCCAATTACTTTTAAATAAGGTTTTGGTCTGACAATCTCAACTAATTAAACTTCAGCCCAATCAATGATATATAAATAAAGGTTTGAACTCATTCCTTAAGGTACATATGTATTCTCTGGACTATTTCTATTATCCGCACGTCTGACTTGAGCGTCGGAGGAGTTTCCGCCGGATCAACCCCCGGCTTAGTTTATGTGTTCTACTATCGCAGGTATCTCAAGGTCATTAAGCTCGTGAGCCTCCACCTCACCCTACTTCGACTCTATAAGGTGACCTATCTCTAGCATCATCATTTTCTTAATGATATGCCTAATTGGGCCAACCATATAGACCTACAATTTCTTTAGCTACTGCGCCACGAACCCAATATTGAAGACCACTACTACCAAGGCCCAATCACCTTCAAATAATGTTTTGTCCCGACAATCTTAACTAATTAAATATGGGATTGCTTCCTCAATTCCAACATTTAAATCCATTGTGCCTATTTTATTTCAAACACAACCTTAAAATCACATTGTAGATATTTAATTGAGCTTAAAAGTGAATTTATAATAAAGGACATTGAGTAATAAATTTAATCTACTTAAACAAATACATATAAAGGTATGGGCAAATGGCAAAAATGCCCATCACATGGGACTTAAATGCATTTTGATCCACAAAAAAAATAGTCTCTCAATTAAGCACATCCCCATGTCTTTAGTCAAAAATACCCTCAATAATATAATTCTTATCAATTCCACCCATTATACTCTAACTTCATTAATATTACACATTGACCCCAAATTTAAACAAATATATCACATTAATCCCCAAAACTTTTTTTTTTCAGAAAATAATTATTTTTCCGAAATGTTTATTTTCCGGCCAGATTCCGGCGTTGACTTTTTTTTTTTTTTTTTTTTTTTTAACTTTTTTTTCCTGAAATTTTTTTCCGGCCGGTCAACCACCGTTGACCGGCGGTCTCCGGCGTTGACTTTTTTTTTTTTTTTTTTGAATTGTTTTTCTTAGAAAAAAAATATTTTAATTAATATTACTGTCTTGACTACTAAATTACTGTCCCAAACAGTAATATTACTGTCTGGGACAGTAATATTATGAATATTATTTTTTCCGAACAGTAATATTATTAATATTATTGTCTAAGACAGTTAAATTACTGTTGGAGACAGTAATTTAACATCCAAGGCAGTAATATTAATTAAAATAATTATTTTTTAGGAAAAAAATAAAAAAAAAAAAAAAAAAAATCAAGTAACAGTTAAATTACTGTCTCCGACAGTTAAATAACTGCCGGAGACAGTAATTTAGAAACAAATACAGTAATATTAATTAATAATACTTTTTTTAAGAATAAAAAAGTCAATTAACAGTTAAATTACTGTCTCCGACAGTAAAATAACTGCTGGAGACAGTAATTTAGCAACGAATACAGTAATATTAATTAAAATATTTTTGAAGAAAAAAAAAAACAAAAGAGTCAATTAACAGTTAAATTACTGTCTCCGATAGTTAAATAACTGCCGGAGACAGTAATTTAGCAACAAATACAATAATATTAATTAAAAATACTTTTTTTAAGAATAAAAAAGTCAATTAACAGTTAAATTACCGTCTCCGACAGTTAAATAACTGCTGGAGACAGTAATTTAGCAACGAATACAGTAATATTAATTAAAATATTTTTGAAGAAAAAAAAAAGAGTCAATTAACAGTTAAATTACTGTCTCCGACAGTTAAATAGCTGTCGGAGACAGTAATTTAGCAGCCAAGACAGTAAAATTAATTAAAATATTTTTTTAAGAAAAACAAAATTATTAAAAAAAAAAAAAAAGTCAACGCCATAATCTGGCCGGAAAAAAATATTTCAGAAAAAAAATTATTTTCTGCAAAAAAATATTTTTGGGGGTTAATGTGATATATTTGTTTAAATCCGGGGTCAATGTGTAATATTAAGGATGTTAGAGCATAATGGGTGGAATTGATAAGAATTAGGGTTAAAATTGGGATCAAAATTGAAATTAGGGTTAAAATTGGTTAATTGATGAAATTGGGCTAAATTGGGGTGTAAATCATGAAATTGGAGTTGAATTGAGTTTCAATGAATTGGGGGTAATTTTGGTATATATGAAAGGATTTTCCTTATTTGCAAATAAGTTTGAATGTGTTGGATTTATTTGATAGACAAAAAAATTGGATGTCCCTCTTTTAATTAAGTGCCCTTGTCATGGACCTATTTGCCATTACCCCTAAAGGTAGATCTACTGCGACTAATTGGAATGAGAGAAAATCTTGGTAAGAAAAATAACACCGACGAATACTTTTGTGTAGTTATATAAGTCCACCATATCAAATACACAGTAATACATAAGAATCGTTGAACTTCAAAGTGTTTAGATGGGACATCTAGATAACCAGAATAAAAGTAAAAGTTGTGGTGCAAGTATGAAAAACAAGTCTGCAGATCATCATATTTTATCGTATTTGCTTATATCTTACAATCTTCATCAAGAAAGCTACTTCAAATTCACAAGAAGTAATTGACATTTCAATGTTCAATATTTCCCTTTTCTTTATTTTATTTTTGATTGGTGGGTGGGGGCATGATTCTATATATCTAATGATCCAATAGTGACAAAATAGAATACTACTAGTATGTTGAATAGTATTTGAAGGTTATTTAATTAATATACACTAATGCACATATTTTTTCAAGCTTGATTGGATTGGTAAAGCATAACTAACTAACAATGAACATCAAATTTAGCCAAATAGTCAAATCTTTAAAAAACAATATAGCAACTCATCCTTTTGAATCACTACGAACAGAAAAATCGAACATTCAGATGATAACTACAAACTGACTACAGCGAGGTACATCATAATTAGGCCGTAGACAATTATTAAAACTTAAAAGAAACATAAAAATCCTAGACAAAATTCATCTGTATTTTACTACCTGCACAATTTATAATTAATAAAAAAATGTAGTCTTGCAACCTGTTGTGTATAGATGCAGATTCTCAATCAACGGAGGGCACGGTTTACTACCAGCAAAGAATAGAATTTCAGTCATAAAAACACCTTCATCTGAACGATTCGTTTTAAAAAAAAACACCCAATCCATCCTAATCATAAGCCACGCTTAGTATATGATACTCGAAAATAAAATAAAAGGAAATAACTTACTATCGACAGGTCAGAAGAGAATTTTGGGCGTAGCGCTTGACGGCTATGGCAAGATTGTCACAAGATGAAAACGAAAAACATTGCCCGTCGATGATGAATAAAGAGAGTTGAATAAACACGAAGAAGAACTAAGAAATAAGAAAACAAAAAAGTGTGTTTAGGGTTTACGTTGATGGAAGAAATTTTTCAAGACAATTAATTGTAATCACATATTAATTATTAATTATTACTTATGTTTTAGTTATAAGGGTTTTAGGTAATTTCACTTATAAGGTAGGTATAGTACGTTTTTCTTATGTGGTTCATACAAATCATACGTGTCACATTTTTATTGATTGGTCTTCAATCGTTTAGGTACGAGTAGTACGAACCCTCTCAGATCCTAGAAAACCCCAACATAAATTGGATTACTGGTTTAAGGGTAGGTCTAATTCATGAATTTAGTTACAAAACAAAACAACTTTCACTTGTGTGTATATCTTAATTTATAACCAATTAGATACTCTAAATGTTACATTTGGTGAAATATATTATATATTTATAAATTTTGATTTACACATAACTATAGAGGTGCTTGGGCTTTCATAGTTATGGTCTTTTAAACCGAGTTCGTGTCCCAATAGGTAAATAAATCGCAGGCCCATTGAGTTGGCATAATTAGACATATCAGATGTTGTTTGGAGTTTTCATTTGCCAAGAAAATTCTCGTCCAATATTCCACTCTACGAGCCTCGATAGGCATTCTCTTGGAGAATACTCGTTGTGCAGTCTTCGAACCAAATCAACCATCGAGGTCCGGACGAAAGTGGACACGGATTGAATAAAGGCTTCATTTTTCAGCGTCTATGATGGATATGGAGGTCCCGGAGCTTCCACGTACTTTCAATAACATCTCTTCGACAATTTACTCGATAAGTATGTTAATATATATATATATATATATATATATATATATGGGGAGCTGAATGGATCGGCTCATCTTGCTTGTTTTGACTTATCTGGGACAAAACGTTGCATGTAGACAATCAGCAGGGAGATTCGATAGTTGTAATGGGCATTCTGGAACCGAATACAAATCAAGTAAGAGGGGTGCGTGTTAATGTGGTCCACGGGGCATATCAGTTTCGAAAGAAACGAACGGTTAATAAGCAAAAGAAAGGTCACACAACAATGCTTATAGGAAAATCCTTCGTGAAGGATGCAAGCAAGAATGTCTATCGAGATGAATTTGGTGAAGTTAATCGCAAGCAACTCGATGTTGTAACATTTGAAATATCTACATCAAATTCGAAATATTCAGATCACGCAGCCTGTGGGAGCTGTGCTCCAAAAGTGACACAGTTGCAATCGTTAACATAAGCGCTAAAGAGGTATAGCTTATTATTATTCTATATAAAAAATTATATATTTAATTTCTTTTACTTGTGTGTGCATGTATATAAATAAATGATCTGCCGGGTGTAGCAAAAGGCTCATGGAAGCTTGAGAAATGCAGGTGCGTGGAGAGACGTACACAATGATATTTGCATTTTTGTATAATGATATTTACATTTTTATGTATACAAGTGTGCATGTATATAAATAAATGATCGGCATTTGTGCTCCATCTACATCTACTGCTAAGGTCTATCAAGGATGCTCGAATGCTAATCTTTGATTTTAAGATACGGTTAAGAATGATTCTATAGAGAAATATATTTTAGTTACTATCTAGAAAATAATTATAATTTAGAGTTTATACGGTGGTCCTAGAAAATTTCCAACTTGGTGACAAGTTTTAATTTTTCCTTTTTAATTTTATAGTTACCATCTCTGTCTCTATCTATAATTTATTTTATTTTTTATATTCCTTGGTATACGTTCAGATCACGAGTTTGTTCCTTGCTATACATTCAGATCACAAGTTTGATCAATGATAATGTCCATTTATTTGGGGGAAAAAAATTCATTTGACAAATTTAGGGTTACATTGGATGAAAATTTCACATCTTGCGAAAATGTACTAATGAATTTAACTTAACAAGCAATTCTTCTGTGCAATGTTACAAACACGCGAGTGCGCAGAAAAATCCCCGTAG